GCGTGGGGAAGAAACTTCTCCTTCACACGGGGTTTAAAAATTTAATGTGGCGGGAGACCCCCCCCCCACACTGGGAATTGTTATTATTATTTAATCTTAGAAAAAAAAAAAAAAAAAAAAAAAAAAAAAAAAATAGACAGAGACCAGCGCAATGGCATATTGCTTGAGCTCAGCCTCAAACTCCTGGGCTGAAGCTATACGCCCGCCTTAGTCCTCAGGAGGCTAAGGCGGGCGTATAGCTTCAGCCCAGGAGTTTGAGGCTGTAGAGTGATGTGACTGAGTGTATGCATAGCCACAGCACTCCAGCCTGAGCAATACAGCAAGACATCATCTCTAAGATTAAAAAATAATAATAATAAATGAAAAGATACAGGGCAGGGCACAGTGGCTTATGCATATAATCCCAGTACTTTGGAAGGCTGAGGTAGGCAGATCATCTGAGGTCAGGAGTTCAAGACCAGCCCGGCCAACATGGAGAAAGCCTGTCTCTACTAAAAATACAAAATTAGCCAGTAGCCGGGCGTGGTGGTGCATACCTGTAATCCCAGCTGCTCAGGAGGCTGAGGCAGGAGAATCTCCATCTGGGAGGTGGACAGTGTGGTGAGCCAAGATCCTGCCATTGTACTCCAGCCTGGAGAACAAGAGTGAAACACTGTCTCAAAAAAACAAAAAAAAGAAAAGAAAAGATACATAGATATGGATGAGGACAGCTGGGGAGAATAGCAGGACTTCTTAAGATATGGGATGCAATTTGGTATTGAATAATCACAACCATTTGTTTTTACATGGGGGAGAAACATCCTTGGACCACAACAGAACAGATGAAAGCCACCCATCCACTCTTTTGGAAGAAGTTTGTTTGATTGGTTGGTTGGTTGGTATTTTTTTGAGACAGAGCCTTGCTCCATTGCCAGGCTGGAGTGCAGTGGCCTGATCTCAGCTCACTGTAACCTCCACCTCCCATGTTCAAGTGATTGTCCTGCCTCAGCTTCCTGAGTAGTTGGGACTACAGGCACGCATCAACACGCCCAGCTAAGTTTGGTATTTCTAGTGGAGATGTGGTTTCACCACATTGGCCAGGATGGTCTTGATCTCTTGACCTCGTGCTTCATCCACCTCAGCCTCCCAGAGTGCTGGGATTACAGGTGTGAGCCACGTCTACTGGCCTTTTGGAAGAAGATTTTAAAAAATTCCATGGCTTAAAAAAAGAGAAAAAGAAAAGATAAACTAACACACACAGGATAAGAGACATATCTAAATAGACAAGTAACAGAATTCCCAAATTCCCATGCCTTTGCACGAAGGACCTTGCTAATAAACCTCCCATTTGGAGTCCTACACCTCAAGGAAGATTACTAAGAAGACCTCAACTTTGAAAGGGCTTGTAGTGCTGCTCACTTTGGCCGCACGTATACTAAAACTGAACAATACAGAGGAGATTAGCATGCCCCCTGCTTAGGATGACATGCAAATCTGTGAAGCATTCCATATGTTTTTTGAGAAATTTAAAAAAAAAATTAAAAAGTGAAATAGCTTGGAAAACATCAGAGAAAGCCAGCACACGATACAGGCCACTGGATTCCACTCAGCCCAGCCTGGGATCCTGCCCCTGCAGCCGTGTGCCTGGGCCTGCGGCTCAGCAGGAGAGAGATCTTGCAGGACTCACGCCTTGGCCTGAGAGGCCAGAGCAATAAAATTAGGATTATTTATGATGCAGAAGCGATTTAATAACATTTTTCGAGAACCTGAAGGATTTATGCAGAAGAACTGCTGTTCTAGTAACTAAACCCTTTTGGATGGACTCTAAGATAAACCAGGCTTGTCTGGCTTCTGCCCTGAGCCTCTCCACCTCTTCCAGTTGCTCTTGGCAAATAATCTCTTCCACTTTACTGGAGGGTGATGGTCAAGGAGATGACTTTCCTGGCTGCTTTATCTACTCTCCTCCCCTGCTCAAAATATCTCTCAACATCTCTCTTTGTTCCTTCAAATCACAAAGGAAAACTCAAAGCAGGAGGGAACTAACATTTATTGACTGCCTGCTATGTGCCAGGAGCTTGCAGAAACATTACCTCATTTAATTCCCGCAAACGCCCTGTGAGGTAGGCATAATTATCCCTGTGTTGCTTGTTAGGGGATGCAGGAAATCATATTCTTTTAACAGCTGGTATGAGGATTTCTCTTGGGTGCCAGGCGTGGTGGCTTACACGTATAATCCCAGCAATTTGGGAGGCCAAGGTGGGTGGATGACTTGAGGTGAAGAGTTTGAGACCAGCCTGGCCAACATGGTGAAACCCTGTCTCTACTAAAAAACACAAAAAATTAGCCGGGTGTGGTGGTGCACACCTGTAATCCCAGCTTCTCAGGAGGCTGAGGCATGAAAATAGCTTGAGCCCAGGAGGCAGAAATAGCAGTCTGCATTCCGGCCTGGGTGACAGAGCAAGACTCTGTCTCAAAGAAAAAAAAAAACAAAAAAAACTTTTCTCTTGGGGAGAGAACCATTTTTGTGGGAAAATGTCTTGGTCAGCCTCTTTGGACAGTGTCGAGGGAGGGGAGAGATGAGGAAGTATGTGTGGAATGGGTAGGGTGAGGGGACGATCAGCTCCTCACTCAGAAAGAAGAGGGGAAGAGCAGAGGCAAGGAGAGGGCAGGTGATTTAGAGAAAGGCTTTGTGTGCCACAATATATCCCTACCTTAAAAAGCATAACTCTTTTTTGTTTTTGTTTGTTTCCTGAGATGGAGTCTCACTCTGTCAGCCAGGCTGGAATGCAGTGGTACAATCTCGGCTCACTAAAACCTCCACATTCTGAGTTCAAGCGATTCCCCTGCCTCAGCCACCCGAGTAACTGGGATTACAGGCGCCCGCCACCACACCCAGCTAATTCAAAAGCATAACTCTTAAAATTTCAAGTAAATCTACTAAACTCATGAAATGCTTGCTGAAAGAGAATTTTCGAATGGGCTTTCTGGCATAGGGTGACACAGAAGCCATGTGTGTTTCAGCTGAGATGGTGACAGGAAGTACTATAAAGGAAGCACATCTCCTAAATTCAAGGGCAAGAAGGTCCCCCACCCCCACCCCTTGACATATGAGTTCCCTAGAGGGGAAAACTGAAGCTTGGCAGTTAATCAACTTTACTGAAGTCACACAGCATCACTAACAAAGGGAACTGATCCCAAGCCTGTTTATCTTGAATGTCTATTGTTTTTGCTCTATTCCACATGCTGCACTAAGCAAGATAGCTTTTTCTTCTCCCAGGCCAACTCTTCCACTGCTGTGCTCCATCTAATCATAGTAATTAATAGTAGTGAATATTTATTGAGTGCCTACAATATGCCAGACATTGTTGCATGCATTAGCTCATTTGATCCTGACAACGACACTATATATTTGACAATATAATTATTTACATCTTATTATATGGAAACTGCTGCTCAGAGAGGTTAAGACACTTGCTCAAAGTCCCACTGCTATAAGTGGTGAAATAAACATTTGAATCAGAGCCCATGGTCTTTTTTATTTAATTTATTTGAGATGGAGTCTTGCTCTGTCACCAGGCTGGAATGCAGTGGCACAATCTCTGCTCACTGCAACCTCTGCCTCCTGGGTTTAAGCGATTCTTCTACCTCACTCTCCCGAGTAGCTGGGACCACAGGCGCGTGCCACCACGCCCGGCTAATTTTTTTGTATTTTTAGTAGAGACGGTGTTTCACCATGTTGGCTAGGATGGTCTCGATCTCCTAACCTTGTGATCCGCCAGCCTCAGCCTCCCAAAGTGCTGAGATTACAGGCGTGAGCCACTGCCGTCGGCCTAGAGTGCATGGTCTTAATGCCATTGCATTGTCTCATCTCATCCCTTCTCACCTCTTGGAAGAACAGTTCCTCAAATTAACCCATCTAATTAACCTGTTCTCTCCACCACTAGGATAAGACCTGGTGGGGTTTGCAGAGGTCATGCAACACTGAACACAGAAGATGTTCTGATGGGCTTGGATCACAGCCACTGTCACACCTCAGACTAATAGTATAACTCGGGAGTTGGTAAATTTTTTCTGTAAAGGGCCAGACAGTAAGTATTTCAGGCTTTGCAGGCCATATGGTCTCTATAGCCAGCTACTCAACTCTGCTGTTGTAACATGAAAGTAGCTGTAGTCATAAGTCAATGAGCAGGATTGTGTTCCAATAAGGCTTTACTGATGGACACTGACATTTGAATTTCCTATACTTTTTCTGTGTCACAAAGCATTATTCTTCTTTTGCTTTTTTTCCTCCAACCATAGAAAAAGGTAAAAACCATTCTTAGTCTGAAAGTCACATCAAAACTGAAGGCAGCTGGGCGCAGTGGCTCATGCCTGTAATCCCAACACTTTGGGAGGCCAAGGCGGGTGGATCATGAGGTCAGGAGTTTAAGACCATCCTGGCCAACATGGTGAAACCCTATCTCTACTAAAAGTACAAAAAATTAGCCAGGTGTGGTGGTGCACGCCTGTAATCCCAGCTACTCAGGAGGGAGGCTGAGTCAAGAGAATCGCTTGAACCCAGGAGGCAGAGGTTGCAGTGAGCCGGGATCAAGCCATACTCCACCTGGGCAACAGAACAAGATTCTGTCTTTGGGGAAAAAAACACCTGGAGGCAGGCCGGATTTGGCCTGCAGGTCACAGTTTGCTGACCCTAGTTTTACCAAACCTTCCCTTCTTTTGGGTTCTATATCCAGTTGGGCCAACTCCAGACTAAACAGCTTCCAGGCCGGGCTTCGCGCCTGCTCTCCTTTACCTCGCTCCTCTCACCTACGAAACCACACAGGTCCAGTCCACAAGCCTCTGCTCTTCACTATCCCATCGGCAGCTCTCCGCCAGTCTTCCAGCATCTCCTGACCAACCACAGGTAGTTGTCTGCTGTCCCTGCAGGAAGTGGTCATAAAGTAAGATGGAACTGCCATCATTTAGATGACCCTGGTGAAGCAAGCCAGAAGGACAGTTAAAGGGGCATCACCCGAAGACTATGACAAGGCTTGCAAGTAATATGCTTCAAATAGACTGAACATCATAAAAGGAAAACTCTAGGAAGGGTGGAGAGTACATTGCTAAGAACCTGGATGCAAAGAAAGATTCCTAGGGCCAGGAATGGAAATGCCTTTCTCCTCCAGGAGGCCAAGGCCAGAGGATAAGATACGGAAGACAGGAGCACACCAGGGTCAGAGGACAGTTTAGGTCTAGAATCAGAGAGAAGACTAAAAAGCACTGACAGCCAGGCACCGTGGCTCACACCTGTAATCCCAGCACTTTGGGAGGCCAAGGCGGGTGAATCACCTGAGGTCAGGAGTTCAAGACCAGCCCAGCCAACATGGCGAAACCCTGTATCTACTAAAAATAAAAAAATTAGCTAGGCATGGTGGCACACGCCTGTAATCTCAGCTGTTTGGGAGGGAGACTAAGACAGGAGAATTGCCTGAACCCAGGAGATGGAGGGTACAGTGAGCTGAGATCATGCCACTGCACTCCAGCCTGGGCGACAGATCGACTCTGTCTAAAAAGAAAAAAAAAAAAGCACTGACTAAAGAAAGGCTGAGAATAACAACAAAAAAAACCCTGCTAACATTTATTTTTTTATTAAACACCTACTACGTTCTAGGCATACGTTGCTGGGTTTTTTTTAAATAATACTGTCTCTTATTTAACTCTTTCAACACTCTGGCAAAATAGTCATTTAAAAAATCTTTTTGTATTCATTGTTTTTAAAATAAATATTTATTGTGCATCCTTTATGTGGCAGACACTATGCTAGATACTAAGGATAAGCAAGTAAGCAAAAATAGACCTTGTGCCTGCTTTCATGGAGATTATACAGGGATTGGCCATTTTTTTTTTCTGTAAAAAATAGATTGTAAGTATTTTAGGCTTTGTAGGCCATCAGGCCTCTGCTGCAACCAGTCAACTCTGCGGCTGTAGTGCAAAAGCAACCGCATATGCTATGTAAAATAGTAGGTGTGGCCGCATGCCAATAAAACTTTTTTTTTAATAAAAACAGGCTTCAGGCCAAAGCTGGCTATGGTTTGCTGACCCCTGTTCTAGTAGGAGACAAATATTAAGCAAATAATTACACAGAAAGCAATCATTCAGTGACATCAGGTAGAAGTTCCTGATACTAAAAAACCCTATCATCAGAGAGATTTAACCTATTCAGGGAGATGAGAGATTTCCCTGAGGGAGTGGGTCTTAGTTTTAATGTAGTAGTTCATTAGTGAGGTAAGGGCAAGGCTACTGCAGACAAGGGAAGTAGCCTGTGCAGAGGCCTAGGGCAGAAAGGAGCACAGCAAGCCCACTTCAAAAGAGGTTTATATCGTTGGGGCAGAGTCAGTGAATGTGAGCTCAGGCTAAAGACGTCAGGGAAGGCCCGGCCCTGTAAGGTCTTCAGGGTCTTATTGGGGGATAAGGTCTCTATTTAAATACAGAGACTGCTGCACACGAAGTTAAGTAACATGCTCAAAGCTGTACAGCCCACAAAAGGTGGAGCTAGAAGCCTTATCTCTAGACTCAGCTTCTGTATTCTCTTTGTGTTCATTTTGGTTTTATGTTTGCCCAGTGTCTTTATAAATTTCCCTCTATGAAACTGCCAAATCATTCAATGAAATTAAAAGGAAAGAGAATGTGGTCCTGCACTTAGGCTAGGAGGCTAGCAAGTACCTGATATCAGCAGGAAACTGGAGTGAGCCTGGCAGAGAAGTCCTACAGTGGAGGACCTAGAGGACTGGGGAGAGCTGTGTTCCTGCTTCTCCTTTTTCTCTGATCCCCCCTTCTATGGAGTCTTAGCAAAGCTTTCTCTGTCCTCAGTGTCAAAGGAGCCTTCAGAATATCGCCCAGACTCCCCCCCACCGCGTTGCTCTGCCCTCTGAGTCTCGGCCTGCCCGCCTCTGCACTCTGTCCTCATTCACTTGCACGCTCCCCTAGGGGACACTTGCACAGCTTGCTGCCTGGTGAATGCTCCATGTCCCCTCCTCAGTTCCACACTGTTCCTCTGCTGGAAGAGCACATGCTTCACCCTGTCCCTTTGTCTGCACACCTTCTCTTCTTTAAGAATCCATGAAAATGTGGCACATATACACCATGGAATACTATTCAGCCATAAAAAAAGATGAGTTCGTGTCCTTTGTAGGGACATGAAGTTGGAAACCATCATTCTCAGAAAACTAACACTGAAACAGAAAACCGGACACCACATGTTCTCACTCATAAGTGGGAGTTGAACAATGAGAACACATGGACACAAGGAGGGCAGCATCACACACCGGGGCCTGTTAGGGCATGGGGGACTAGGGGAGGGATAGCATTAGGAGAAATACCTAATGTAGATGACAGGTTGATGGGGACAGCAAACCACCATGGCACGTGTATACCTATGTAACAAACCTGCATGTTCTGCACATGTATCCTAGAACTTAAAATATAAAAAGGGGGGAAAAAAAAACAACAACTTCAAAGAGCAATCACGAAAGGAAAAAAAAAAAAAAAAGCCAGGCATGGTGGCTCATGCCTATAATCCCTGAGGCATTATCATGAGGTCAGGAGATGGAAACCATCCTGGCCAACGTCACTACTTAAAATACAAACCCCGTCACTACTTAAAATACAAAAATTAGCTGGGTGTGATGGTGTGCACCTGCAGTCCCAGCTACTCAGGAGGCTGAGGCAGGAGAATCGCTTGAACCCGCCAGGTGGAGGTTGCAGTGAGCCGAGATTTCACCATGGCCCTCCAGCCTGGGCGACAGAGTGAGAATCTGTCTGAAAAAAAAGAACCCACCCAGAAGGCCGGGAGTGGTGGCTCACACCTGTAATCCTAGCACTTTGGGAGGCTGAAGTGAGTGGCAGGCACCTGTAATTCCAGCTATTTGAGAGGCTCAAGTAGGAGAATTGCTTGAACCTGGGAGGCAGAGGTTGCAGCGAGTCGAGATCGAGCCATTGTACCCCAGCCTCAGCGACAAGAGCAAAACTCCATCTCAAAAACAAAAACAAAACAAACGAACAAACAAAATCCACACAGGAGTGGCTTCTGGTCTGCAGGATGCTGTCTATGGCCCCTTCCTCACCCAGCCTGGGCACCGTGCTCCCCTTCAGTGCCCACACAGTTCCTGGTGTGAATGGCTGACATCCCAAACTACTATTCACATCGGCCTCCCACACTGCACCCTGAGCTAGCAAAGGGCTTATGTGACAGGCGTTTAGCACTTTCCTTAGGGAGGTTAACCCGTTTACTTGTCAGTTCCACTTGTTCCCACCTCTTAGGCATCTGCATATTTCTATCCTTCAGATTTCCTAGCACTGGGCCTTATAGCAGCAGTTCTCAAAGTGGGGTCCCCAGTCCAATAGCATTGGCGTCACCTGGGAGCTCTCTAGAAATGCAAATTCTAGAGCCCTCCTTGGACCTCTGAGATTGGAAACTGGGGGTGTGCAGCGATCTCTGCATTCATAGGTCCTCCAGGTGATGCTGATGCTTGCTAATGTTTGAGAACCACAGTCTCACCAGAAGTTATTGCTCATTAAATTGTTGAATCGTTGATTCCCTGAGGATGGTAACTTGTTATTTTCAGCCTAGAAAAGAAAAAGAGTAACTGAGAAAATGACAGGAAAAGCTTTTACTAGGCTGGCTTTTTAGAAAAATTTTCTGACACGATATTTCAAATAATGGGACTTTCAAAGAAGGCTCTGCTTTGTAAGTGTTGAAAAACAAGATCAATTCTCCTCTGTCTGGCTTGGGTGTGGTCTTGCTGAAGGGCAGGGCTTTAGACGAGATAACCTCACCACATGCCCTCCTCCACTGCTCAGATTCTCTGTTTCTGGATATTCTATGCTCTGTGAAAGAAATATAAGTTAGGGAGCAGGGCATTATTGCTAGGGGATTTTGGGCTTTTAGCCCACAAGGAAGTATATACTTTTTTCCTCTTCTAAGGTGAGTCTTTGCCAGTCTATACTCATAAAAAGAGATGACCAGGACCTTTGAGAAAGGTAATTGTTTGTTTTTAGGTCATAAAAATGAATCCTTGCTTTGTTTTCAAAGGAACATGCTCTTCATGCAATCTATACGCTCTGAATGACAAGTAGGTGAGGTCCAAGATTGGAAAGATAAAACTTCATTGTTGGTTTTTGGCCTGGAGCTGAAACAATGGGACAAAGGAGTGGCTTGTTGGTATAAGCTCTATAAAACACAATAATATTAGTCATGTAAACAGGAGAAAATAGGAGAGGCTTAATGAGATAAATTACAGGCAGTCACCACATTAGGGATTAAAATATTCTGATCAAGCAAACGCTAAAAGGTACAAAAGAAAGGATAAAGGAAAGAGTGGTAACTTTAGTTTTAGAAAACAATGGGTCCTTCTATCTAGGGTGCTGTTTGACAAGGGGATCTTTCAGAAGCTGCCTGAGCTGACTGTGAGCGTCCATTAAGATCCCACTTTTCATCCAAAAAAAGAAAAAATCATCCTATACTCAAACCAGGGCGCACAAAGCCAACACATTCTTCTCTTCCTTATTCTTTTTTTCCCTCTTCACAATTGCAAAGCAATCCATTTTGCTAGATGAGTCTGTGAAGGGAATAAAAGCACTCCAGGTTTCTGACTCTATTTGCATTCCCCGATTTGCTGGCCTAACTTTCTAAGTGTGACGGGCTGTGGTTCTCAGGCTAAGGGGAAAACAGCCAACTCACCGAGGTTTACGATTGCCTGTGTACCTCTGGGAACAGCCACTTTGTCATAACTATTTTTATAAGGATATTTGAACAACGGAAGCAGAGGCTACAGATGTGTATGTACTATTTCAACTAACAGAGCTCCTGAGCCTTGAGTTGGTGTTACGTGCTAATCACGTAGCTGTCTGTATTAAAGTGCACATCTACAAATGAGAAGATATAAAACTCTGTCAAAACTTGTAACAAGCTGGGCTCGAGGTGGCCCACGTCTGTAATCCCAGCACTTTGGGAGGCCGAGGCGGGTGTATCACCTGAGGTCGGTAGTTTGAGACCAGCCTGGCCAACATGGAGAAACCTCATCTCCTTCATCTCTATTAAAAGTACAAAATTAGCCGGGTGTGATGGCACATGCCTGTAATCCCAGCTACTCGGGAGGCTGAGGCAGGAGAGCGGTTTGAACCTGTGAGGCAGAGATTGCAGTGGGCAGAAATCGCACCATTGTACTCCAGCTTGGGCAACAAGAGCGAAACTCCATCTCAAAACAAACAGAAAAAACTTGGAACAGGGAGATGCTCACTAGTTCATACTTGCATACACTTCTTGGCAATGGTGATAAGCACAAGGTTGCCAAAGGCCAGCGAGCCTGTAAAAATTAAAAAAAAAAAAATATATATATATATATATATGTACATATATATTTTGAAACAGAGTCTTTCTCTGTCACCCAGGCTGGAGTGCAGTAGCACCATCTCGGCTCATTGCAACCACTGCCTCCCAGGTTCAAGCAATTCTTGTGCCTCAGCCACCTGAATAGCTGGGATCACAGGTGCATGCCACCACAACTGGCCTGAAACAATTTTTTTTTTTTACATACATGTAAAGACTAAGCTCCCAGAAGCAGAATTGTTTTCAAAGGGTAGGAATATTTTAAATTTTTGATATTACTTACAAATGCCTTTCAGAAAAGTGATACTAAGCTGAGTGTGGTGCTCACATCTGTAATCCCAGCACTTTGGAAGGCCAAGGCTGGTGGATTGCTGGAACCCAGGAGTTCGAGACCAGCTAGACAACATGGAGAAAGCCCATCTCTACTAAAAATACAAAAAATTAGCTGGGTGTGGTGGTGCACGCCTGTGGTTTCAGCTATGGAGGCTGAGCTGGGAGAACCACCTGGGCCCGGGGAGGTACAGGCTGCAGTGAGCCAAGATCACTCCAGCCTGGGAGTGAGACCCTGTCTCAACAACAACAACAAAGGAAAAGTGATGCCAAATTCATTTCTACTAACAGAGGGTGACTTTGCTTATTTCTATTTCCCTGATTCCCTAGGCCATACTTTCTTGTACAAATATTTGCCCATTTGAGGAGTTAAAAATGACATTCCATTTTTGTTTTAATAAGGATTTCATATTCATGTCACATATATATATAGAGAGAGAGAGAGAGAGAAAATTGTATTTTTTTGGGAATTGCATATTTTTGTGTTTGCACATTTTGTTTTTTTACTGAAATAGTGGTAGTTTTCTGCACAGATTATAAAAACTTCATACATTAATGATATTACTTGTTCATATATGCTGTAGGATTTCCCTCTAATTTTTCATTTTAATTTTTTATGGCGTTTTTGACATGCTGAAGTATTTATTTATTTGACACAGAGCCTCACTCTGTTGCCCAGGCTGGAGTGCAGTGGCGCAATCTCAGCTCGTTGCAACCTCTGCCTCCCAGGTTCAAGCAATTCTCCTGCCTCAACCTCCCAAGTAGCTGGGACTACAGGTGTGTGCCGCTATGCTCAGCTAATTTTTTGTAATTTTACAAATACAAAAAAAAAAAATATGACACCACGTGGACTAACTTTTAAAAAATGTTTGGGCTGGATGGGGCGGGTCATGCCTGTAATCCCAGCACTTTGGAAGGCCGAGGGGGGCGGATCACCTGAGGTGGGGAGTTTGAGACCAGCCTGACCAACATGGAGAAACCCTGTCTCTACTAAAAACACAACAATTAGCTGGGCATGGTGGCGCATGCCTGTAATCCCAGCTACTTGGGAGGTTGAGGAAGGAGAATCACTTGAGCCCAGGAGGCAGAGGTTGTGGTAAGCCGAGATAGCGACATTGCACTCCAGCCTGGGCAACAAGAGTGAAACTCAGTCTCAAAAAAAAAATAAAAATCATTTGGAGAATATTTTTAAAATGCAATTGCCTTGTCCTCTGAGGTGGTACCCAGAAATCTGCATTTTCACCAAGAATCGGAGAGAACCCTTCTGCAAGGTGATACAAGAAACACTGATTATCCATATCTGATTTGATACATAGGTCTAAATTCACATCCACAACTGTGTAGAACCCACTGATCATCTCCAGCTGAACATCTCCCAGGTACCTCCAGCTCAATCCAAACAGAATTCACCACCTCTCTACACAAAACTATTCCTTTTCTAAGTACCATTTTCCTTTCTGACACATACCGTGAGGTTTCCTTGCCCCAGATCTGAATCAGCCATTTCTCCAAGGAGCTCTGGTACCTTCTCATGGGTAATGGCATTCAGATACTAAGATATTGGCACTAGGTATCGTTAGAATTCTCTTGTCTTAATTCAAACTGTTTTCTCAAGATGCAGTTCCAACAGTGGGATTATTTGAATTAGAAAAGGTGAAATATTTTATAGCTCTTAATTCAATATTGACAAAAGTACAGCCAGTCCAGTGTTGGGCTCTGCTGGGACTATATTCCTTTGCCTTTCCTTCGCCTGTTAGTGTCAGTCGCTAATATTAAAGCAGCAGCATTGTCTGACACTGTCCTCAAATATGAGAGCTTCAGAGAAGAGTTCTGAGGAACAGCTCCTCATTCCCCTGTCTGGCCCTCTAGGGATCTTTGCTGAAGGAGAGAAGAGACACATTTTGAAGAAGAGCCAGATGGGAAAGGAAGAACTAGCTGGGCAAGTGTATAACCAGCTCAACATCTACCTCCTCCCCAAATTAGTGTGACTCTGGTTAATTTTTAGGGGAAGATGTGGCCAAGGCCGGAACTCCTGAGCAGAGCATTCCACTTCTGTTTCTTTCCTGAGTCTAAGAATCATTAGAATGTACAAGGAAGGCTAGCCTGGCCCTTTGGGGTGGTAGGAGGTAAGAAAGAGAAAGATAGAATGTGGTTTCTCAACTTTAATGAACAGTAATGACACACACCAATAAATGTGGCCCAGATTAGTATAATGAGGGGAATGCAGGATGGTGAGACGAAGGTGCACAGGGACAGCAGTATGAGGGCAAAGAGGGCTCTCCTAGAGCCATTTTTGATGTGCAGAAGAAATTCCCTCTCCCAAATCTACTGCCAGACATACCTTCAGCCTGGTTTACCTCTCCCTTCCGGTGGTAAAACCCATTGAAACGAACTCCAAAAGAGACTGAGAGGCCCTAGAAAGAACAGGTCTTGCTTCAAGCTGTTTCAATATCTTGTTGTTGTTGTTGTTTAATCTTCTTGCTGTGTGGCCCAGGCTGGAGTGCACTGGCGTGATCTCGGCTCACTGCAACCTCCGCCTCCTGGGTTCAAACAATTATCTGCTTCAGACTCCCAAGTAGCTGGGATTACAGGTGCCCACCACCATGTCTGGCTAACTTTTGTATTTTCAGTAGAGACAGGGTTTCATCATGTTGGCCAGGCTGGTTTCAAACTCCTCACCTCAGGTGATCCACCCGCCTCAGCCTCCCTAAGTGCTAGAATTACAGGCACTGTGCCTGGCCAACATTTATGTAATAGTTCCTTATCCCTCAATGTCTAGAAGAGAACTGTATTTTTTGGTAGACCTACATAAACATATTGGCTGATAACTTCTTATCTGGTACAGATTATGCTTCAAAACTTTAACTTCCATTAATGCACAGACATACATCCTTGAAAGTGGATATGG